AAAATATGAACGTTGGTTGTTAACAACACTTTTACGTCACTTTTGTAGAATGTACAATCTCCATTTTGGTGTCTGCAACATTTCTGCTGTTTTGCTTAAGGGATCTTTAACGTGAAAAATATGGCGCACTATCTACAGTCTCTGGTGGGGTATTAGGGTTGTAACTTATATTATTAATGCATTATTGTCAGTAAATATTAAGAATTCTTGAATATTGAAAATATATATTGACAGCACAATATTGCCAACATTTCGGTATTATTAATAAATATTACCTTATATTCCATTTCATATACTTCAAATTTTCAGATCAACAAATTCTTAATTTTCAAATTTTTAAATATGTATTGAAACTGCATATTTTACTTTCCAAATAACAAAATTTTCAAATTGTCAAATTTTTTAATTCGCAAGTTACCGAACTGAAAGTTTTTACATATTTAACTTTTGGTATCCGTGAATGTCGAAATTAAAAAGTTTTTAAGTTTAAGTCTTTGAATACCCAAATTTTTGAATTCTTATACTTATAAATTTGTTTCCCACAATTCTAGATTACGTAATTTAAAAATTTTCAGACATATTTTTTTAATATTTAAATTTTCAAATTTTTAAGGTGACAAATTTTCAAATTGTTAAATTTTTAGATTGCCATGTTTCCAAATTCCTAAATATTCGAAATATCAGTTCCTAAATTTTTAAATTCTCAACTCCCATTCTACATTTTCAACTCTAAAATTTTTTAATTTTCAGTTCCTACGTTTTCAAATTCTCAGTTTCAAAATCACTAAATTATCAAATTGCAAAAGTACAAACGTTTCAAATTAGCAAATTTCTAAATTTTCTAATATCAAAATTTTTATATTCCCAAATCTTCGTTTTCTCATGTTTCCGTATCTACTAATCTTGAAATTTTTAATTGCGCAAATTCCAAATTCACAAATTTAAAGATTTTCAATGAATATTTCAGTATTATTAACAAATATTGGAAATTCAGAAATGTTGATTGTATACAATGTTGATTATCTGAGGTTTGCATAACACCGAAAAATGTCATTTCAGAATATGTACAGGAATCGGTATCCTATAATTAAATAATAGTAATTAAGAATCTTGATATTGATAGTTATGATAAATGCTATGAATTTTCCGAATCCGCTGTGGCTCGCATAATTCAGGTTATTGCCAAATATGTGAAATTGAAACATCACCTCATATGAATAGCACTCAAACTTCGTGCATTAAAATCTTGACAGTTGATTAGTTATTATTATTATTGTTAAAAATCGAACTTAACGCTGAAATTATCGATGTTCGTAGGATTCATATTATAAAGTTCAAAATAAAGTATAAAATTAGTTAAATAAATAATGGAACATAAACAAGCATAAATAATTATTTTTTACCTTGATACAAGACACTATACCTGTATATTTAAGTAAAAGAACCTTACAAAATTCTATAATTTGAAGTGAAACAAGTTTTACGTTCTATTTCAAGATATTTCAGTTTACAGAAGTAAGTATATTTGTTAGCTACTACAACTAATAATATTTATTAGTAAATAAAATACTTATTCACAAGTAAATAATAGTAAATAATATTACATAAATATTTATTATTTCAAAAATTCATTCAATGCGCTATATAATATTGCAAATTTGTAAGAGTTGCAGTAAAAAATTATAATTACAAAAGGAAAAATATATTTGCAATGAATTCATTAATTATACGTATAATTTACATGCTATTTATATTTAAGAAAGTAGCAGAGTTTCATAGTATATTATTTTATGTAGCATATTTACAAACGAATACAACGAAGTTTCTTTCATAGTTCTTGTGTTAAACCCATCACTAGTTTTCTCTTTAAACATGTTCGCATAAACAGGTTTCATCCTATTTGATTTCTTGCTATAAGAATGTACAAGTAATTTCAAAGTAATTAAAATTTATCGTGATGATTGTTCTGTATACAAAGTAAATATGTCTATAATTTTATTTGTCAGATGGTTAATATTACGAAATGTTTCGTTTGCAAAAATTTGCATTTTGTTAGGGATATTTTGTTGAGATTATGATCTTTTATTAACTTTTAATAAAACATTCGTCAAAATGAGTTTACATGTACATATACATATATTAAAGTTTTTATTAATAACAAATGAAACTGGTTTTTGTGTCTTACATAATTTGTTCAATTTTTGAAAATTATGTACGTTCTGAACTTTTTCAAGTTCAGTGTTTGAAACATAATGATAAACAGATATTTCTTAGTGAAAAAAATTATGTAATATTGAAAGTGTGCAACATTTTAAAAACACGCAAAAAATAATTATCAGAAACGAAAAATATTTTCAATAAATTTGTTAGTTATGGAGGCTGATATTCGTTTATAATAAAATACAAGAATTATACATACATACATACATATAATATACATGTAATTGCAATAGAATGGAACGAGGGGTCGTATTAACATAATCGATGATAACCTAACAGTTGACACGATTTTAATTCTCAGAAAAGAACAAATAAAGAAATTTTATTTACGTGTATTTATAAATATATTAGTTTTTCAATTATTAATATGTAATTTCTGTCCTGTAAATTTTTTCTAATCTAATTTAATTTTAAACTCAAATATTAATATTTACAAAATTTATAGACATTCAATCAATTATTTAGCAATATTAGTTATTTTATTTTGATTCATTTGTTTAATTGTACCATTTAAAATATGTTTATTTAAATTGATATCGCTACAAATATTGAAAAATTATTAAATTTTTTAAAATAATAAAAACTAATCCAATTTGAAATATGATTTGTAATCCATTAATTATACTATCAATTCTATAAAATGTTAATTAAGTATAAAATTTTTTATGAATTGTAGATTCATTTGTAATAATCACTTATTAGCAGCGTAATAAGTCGCCTTTCATTTGATATAAAATAAATTACAGCAAAAACTGATATCAATACATCATATCTTGCGTTTTTCGATTTTCATTGTTGCCAGTACTTATATTAATAAATGTGTTAAAAGTTACATACTTCACTGCAAAAACTGTTCTATTCAACCATTTTTATTTACTCCAAGCTAGTCGTAAAGCAGCCATTCAGTCGACAAGCGGAATTATTTTTCATTTTATTACTCTTCTACCCTATTGTTCGAATGGTCAAAAAACGTTGAAAGTGCTCGTCTTTTTTCACTTCGAAACTTTTGTTTCATAAAATAGTGAAGAGAGGTATTGTTAAAAGACAATTTATCGTGTAACTAATATATTAGACGTTAAATGTCAGAGATCTGCAGTCACTGCATCAATATAATTTCTTCAACTTTTATCTTATTAGAAATATAAAAAATAACAAAAATCACATAATATACGCGTTACATAATTGATATATTAATTCACGTTTTTGTCCGAAATATGTCGAAAAACTTAGTTTTTTATTTATTTTATTACAATGAAACCTACCAAAAAATTGTAACGAATTAAAGGATAACATGTTGCTGCTGTAAAAGTAAGGAAGTAATTGCTACAAAATTTCAATACGAAATTTAAATTGTTTTACCACTTTTATTTTTTGCACTTCGTATTTGCAGCGAAAAGATTTCAAGAAATTTTCAAATATAATAATTTTTAATTTAATTTCTAATATAATTTTAGGAATTTTACGCGCTATTAAAAATAGGATAAAACTCGATAATTTATATTTCTCTAATAATTATTCTCCCGATTAACATGGTCCTAGCTTAGTGTGCGATGTTGATTTTTGTAGTTATCGACCAGTCCATTACAAGGTAAAATTAATTTAAAGGCATTTTTCATTTTACCCTGCTATACAGGAGCAGCAGAATAACACGTAGAAACGAACATTACGTAATTACTTATAAAAAAATAAGACAAAAAAATATAAAATAAAATTTGTTGATTTTCCGCTTAATTTTAGAGAAAATCTAGTTTGAAATTCACTATGTGTCTGTAGTACTATAGCAATGTTATTTCTTTTCGGCCGACGTAAATGTATATTATGATGCATTATATTTTATGCAAAATGTAATATCTTTAAATGATAATTGTAGTTATGACATATGACGAGGTGAAACAATCGCAAGGCGTCCAATGTTCCCTGATCTTATACCCATGAACTTTTATTTAGGCGAATACATTAAAAGAAAGAATAAGTAAAGATATCAAAAACAATGACCCATTAGGGCAAGTAATTAATTATACGTTTAAAGCACTGAACAGTAAAAACACAATGCTGAGGATACACGTGCCCACAATTGAATGGATATAGCTATGTATCCAACAACATGGACATTAATTTAAGCAATTTTGTAACTAAAAGAATTAAAATGTTCGCAACGAAAATTTTTTTTTCAAGTTAATAACATTCATATATCATATAGATATTATTTATAAACGAATGCAGCGGAACATTTTCAAATTCAATTCAAATTTTCAAATTTGGAAACTTTCAAACTCTCAAATTCCTAAATTTTCAAATCCTCACATTTTCAAACTTTTATATTCCCAAATTTTTTAATTCTTTTTATTTTAAATTCCTAAATTGCTACATTTCCAAATTTCTCCACTTTTAAACTATTACATTCTCATAACCTTACATATACAAGTTTCCACATTTTAAAATTTTTAAATTCCTAAATTTTCAAATTCCTACATTAAAAAATTAAAAATTTGTTTAATAACGAAACTTCTAAATCTCCAAATGCTCAAGTCTCTATATTTTCAACTCCACTCCTAAACTCCTATATTCTCAAATTCTTACATATACAATTTTTCACACTTCCAAATTTCCAAATTTTTAAATATCAAAATGCCCAAATCTCTCCGTTTGCAAATCCAAATCTCTATATTTTTTCTAATTTTAATCACGCGTCAACAGTAACGTAGACAATTACACCCCAATTAAAAATCCATAAGGGTGTCACACATCGATGTCCAATGAAAAAAAAGATAGGCGCTTACCGTCGAAACACACGACCGTCGTTCGTCTCGTAAAGAAGGGAGTTCGTCACAGATCAGGTTCCTCGTAAGCACTCGGACATCCGTAACCCCTCGGGGTGACTGCGACGAGTGCGTCGCGACGTCGTCTCGTCCCGGTACTCATTTAGCAACCCCTACCAGCTCTGATCTTCCCCGTGACCCCTCCACCTGTTTCGAAACAACCAATTGGATAGCTCGTATCCGACGACGACCTCTTCGTCGTCGTCGTCGGCGTCATTGTCGCGATCGTCATCGTCGTTGTTGTCTCCAGTGGTCATCGTCATCGCCTTCTTTCTTGTTTCTCGATGTCCCGTGGTGGTCGTCGTTCGCATTCCTCTTCCGACCCGATGAATCAGAATCCGTTGGTCCGTTCTAAAAGTAATAAGACTGTATTTATAAATAAGCTTTACTACAATATCTTGCATATTTTTAAAAATTGAAGTCCTTTTATTTTTGGGATATCTCAATGGAAACGTACCCTCTTTGCTGCATCGTATTGCGAATATGGTATATAAAGTAATGCATTACATTTTTGTTTTAACAAATATACATGAATCGCGAGTTGATTACCCATTGATCACTCTATCCATTCATTTCTGATTTTTTGATTTAAAACTTCAGAAATTCGGGCAATTAGGGATTTGAGAATATGGAAGAAAATAGAGAGATTTAGAAATTTAGAAATTTAGAAATATAGAATTTAGGGATTTACGAATTTAGGAAATTAAGAATTTTGACTATTGGGATTTGAAAGGTAGGATTTTAAATTACGATTTAGGTACTTCAAAATTGGTGAATTTCTGAAAATTCGGAAGTTTGAAAACGTGGAAATTTGGAAATTTGAATATTAGAGCGTATTGAGAACTTAGATATTAAAAAATATGAAAATCTGAAAATCACGAAATTTAGAATGTTTTAAATTTAGAAATATAGAAGTTTGAGACTTTGAGAATTTGGAAATGAGAAATTTGAAACGCCGGACCTTAAAGATTTAGAAATGTTTAAATTTAAGTATGTAAAGATTATAGAACCTGTAGGTTTGAAAATTCCCAAATTTGAAAATTAGAAAACTGAAAAGTTTTTAAACTGGAAATTTGAGGTAGAAGGAGTTATTAGAATTTGAGAATTCAAGTCTTTAGAGATTTTAAAACTAAGGGATTTGAAAATTCATAGTGCCTATGCCTATAACAGTGTTTACTGTGGTCCGCGAATTTCAATATCTATGGTCTACTTAGAATTCGATCTCTTGCAAATACATAAATTATATTATAGTTATAATATTAAATTTCAATACACAAATAGATTTCATCCAAACATTAAGCATGCGAAATTGTGACAAAGTCGCTCACGTTTTTGGTAAAGTAACGTTTTAAACTGTTGTTTGATCCTCTCCAAACTTTTATTTTAAATGAAAGTCATACATAATAACGTATTTGTATCAAAGATGTTATAAACATATAAAACAACAAAGTCATAACTTGTCACAATAATATAAAGTAGTATAAATAAAATAAAATGAACTGTTCGTTGGAAATAGCTCTTCAATATTTAATTTACAACAAATAAAGAAATTTATTTGATGATAAGAAAATGAAGAAATAAAAAAGTACTTATGTGATTTACCTTGTTAGAGAAGTCATAAGGATTTATCAAAGAACGTGTACGGGTTAGGAACTGTTTTCTTTTTAATATACCGTAAGTTTGTATATTATTAAACTAATAAAGACATAAATATGTTTTTTCGAAACAGTTATATTTGAAAGTACTTACTTCTAAATGCAATGCACGTGGAGTGTAACTGGATAAAGGGACCGTTAGTGTTCCTGAACCAAATTAAACTTGTAATCCACTATTCGATAACGTATTCTAAAAAAAACACTTCCATTGATTTTCCACCTTCTATCTCAACATAGGGGATAGTAATTAAATAATAAAAAATTCTAGCTTTTGTCCCATCTTCTTTATTTAATAACATAAGAAATATTTTTTATTAATATTTCAATTTTTTACTCATTAGTTTTTCAGTGACGTATTAATATGTTAATGTGGAATTAATATACATATTTATTTTGTATACTTAATGAACAAAATTTTTTAAAGAATTTATTTAAAAAAAAATATTGTACATTGTTTTGTTAACCCCGTGTCGCGTCTCGTCAGGGTACCAAAAAGTTCCTTAGACATATTACACACCTTGTCTCCATTCTCCATCGTATCGTGCTCCATTTTTAAATACAATACATACAATCCTCGACCATATCTTAATCCCTTGCAATATCGTCCTTCGTACACATCACCGTTTGGAAGCAACGCTTTTCCGCGACCATGTCGATGTCCGCGCTCGTTTCGTTCACCTTCATACAACTGTTATTACATCGATAGTTCTTTAGACAAACTTTTTCAATATTTATTACAATTATAGTTTATCAAATGTTAATTTTTTATTTGTCGATTTAAAGTGCCCTTTATTTGCTGTAAAATGATATTTGTTATAAATTTATTAGGAAGTTGGTATAGTAAAATTATACTTTTAACGATTTAAAATTATCTCAGGATTTCTGTATTCTTTTTTTGTTGCAATAGTATTATAAATAATCAGGTTTACATTCATTATTTATGAATTATAATAAAGTAATTTGTGATTATATCGGCATTTGTTTTTATCTCATTATTTTATTTAATGTCATACAAAAATTCGAAAAAATCTGACACATCATAGATTCATTAGCACATTAAGGATTTTTCTAGACATTTTTATTGTAAATCTTAGTTGTAAAATTGAAAACCGTAAAAGAGTACGTACATCGCGATTTTTTGTTGAAAATACTCTACTTTTGTATTATTATGATAATACATTAGTCTAATTATTACTCTCGAATTTTCTCAAATATTTTGATGAGGAGTGCCATAGATAAAAGAAATAAAATAACGATTATTTAGCTTGAGAAAATAATTTCTATTTGAAATTTTTACGTTTTTTTTTTCCTTTAATGTTATAACAGGAAGGTCTAATGTTATAATAAGAAATTTCGTAGTATTCAGGTAATAATACGGGGCGTTTCATGAATTATGGCTTAAATAGCGATTTTTAACTTTAGTTAAATTAGCATAGCGTACTTTTTACAGTTTGTACATTTATTAGAGTATCATCTTTTAAGAATTGTACTTATACGATTTAAACAAAATATCGAAAAAGTAACCTAGCAATTAAAATAAATTTATTCTGCCTGTATCCATTTTTTAAACGAAATGGTTAAATCATTATTCTTTATCGTCTACATAATCTACATTTAAAGAAAGTTGTAAATTGAATCTTATGTTAAAAAATAATAAAATAAATAGTGAGCAGAGTATTTTACTTTTTTATTCTCTCAAACTTTTTAAACGACTGAATAGTCGATTTAATTTCTAAATTTCTTTAAAAATGTCATATCTACTTTTAATTGTAAATTAATAATACAAACATATCCATATCGATTTGATTTTATTTCGGTGCTGTATTAATAAGTGGATGATAATCATTACTATTATAGTTCTCTTTTTTCATATCAAGTCTATCCATTTAAGTAATAAAGCAAGTATATTCATTATTATCATTATTATAATACTCATTATTATAATTTTGAAAGTTTATGCAAATATGATACGCTGCGAATATAGAAAATACATGCAAAATTCTTGGGGAAGTCATGTAGAGTTCGTTTAATCAATATTATATGATTTGCTATCATATTATTATATATGGTGTGATATTATTTTTAGATTATATTATATATAATATATTATCATAAAAGTTATGAATATATTAATATATGTATTTATAATTTACAATATAATTATTCCTTAACATAATTTCTATAACGTATATATTTTGCAAATATATTGATATATCGATTGTACATCAGTTACTAAATAATTACAATTATTTAAACTCGAATTATACTTATAATAAAATTATATAATTGACATGCACACTTCAGTTATCAAAATTTTTATATTACTTCAATATATTATTATACTAATTTCATCAATCATTTTTCAAGTATAATTAAAATTAAAATAAATATTGTTAATTATTTCCGAATTATTAATTGAGAATTCATGTTATTTATGAAAAAAAAATAAATTAAATTACAATAATATTTTAAAAATCACACGATGATGCAATTAATGTATATTTAAACTTATTACAAGAGTATTTCGAAATTTCCTCTAGATGTTTTATTAATCTAGACTTTGTAAAACCTCTATTTTTAATAATAATTTTAATAATTTTTATAACTAAAGTTGTTAACGAAGTTAAATTATGTGAGGTATATTAAAAATCGCCTTTGCCAACTCATTAGGTATTCTAATATTTCTATTAACATTTTTACGTTTAATATTAGTATTCAATTATGCATAAATTTAATTGGGATACCCTGTACATGTGCTATTTATATTTAAATTAAAAACAATTTCATTCATCGAGAAAATTTAATATACCCATTTTGAGGTTATGTAAAAATGTAAAAACTTAAAAAAGGAGATAAATTGTATAAAAAGGTTGAGTTGCTCTACTAGTATTATAAATGGCTCTAATTTTTAAGATTCAATTAATAGATCTGGTGTCTCTATTTATAAAATATACTTCTATAAAATTACCATTCGTTTATTCCATTCCTATAAAGGTATTTCTATAAACTTCCGCAGTCTAACGATTACTTTTGGAACAAACCGTACAGATAAAATATTCGCTGTGCGGTGACTATAAGATGACTGAAATACCTCGAATATTTTCATCGATATATTTATTTCACACCGAGGGACACGCTAGATTACAAAATAAACATATTATCTACCGAGTTGAACGTATATATTTTATGTGGAGTGAACTACTCGAGTAGGTGGGTTGAGCAATAGGTGCCTTCACATTTTTTTGGCGAAATTCAACGATTTCGCTTTCCGCGAATTTGGTGTCTCATCAACGGTGAATGCTGAGACTGAATGCGTGGGTGGTTCGAGATACACGACAAATATGTAAAGAATATTTATGTAAATGTCCCGAATTTAGTGAAGAATGTCTATTATTTTATTGGGCATGTGTTACATATTTTGCAGTATCTCAACGTTTTACTTTGCTTTATTATACTT